CTTTCGATTCGTCAACAAAAAGCAACTGATCGAACCAGATCATTGATAGCGCACCATTGAGTACCAAATCTCCCTCCAAAACCATAAATTGTGCACGACATCAAAATAAATCCACTGAAGATAATCCATCACAATTCAATTGTTTTCTCCTGAACAACTCCCAAATCGTTCTTGGATCTGAGGTAGCATACACCGACATGATCCTATATAAAACTCAACCTATAGAACGGGAAAAGAAGCAAGACTGACGCCTGAAGAGTGAGGCTGATGTATTCGGCTCGAATTACTGAGACGGAAAGGAGTAGACATGTGGCACCTGCTCCTTGCTGTCCATTGGTCGGTCCCGGTACTTTTGGTGGTCGGAGTACCATATGTATTGGTAGAGTGTATCGACCCCTTTATCGGGTCTGAGAGTTTACGTAGTTTGAATGGCTCCTGTGTCACTCACTTCACCTTTTATCTTTGAATATTCCAACGTTTTGGTTTCGATCGTTTTTGAAGTGGTTGAGATACAACAAAGAATTCTTTCGTCAAAGTCTCCTGTTGCCCACAAGTTTGTGTATCTACTCGTGTTTGATCTCTCGTTTGCAGCGATCTACATCTACCCGTACTCAGCACCTGTTCGTGTTCTGTGTCTACCATACCCCCGAGAGAAAGTCGTCTCCACGCAAAACGGCTGGCCTAGTGCTCCGACGCACCGTCTCTCAAGAGATGCAATGCGCACCCACGATTTCGTTGCCGTCAACGCCGCCAGCTGGTGCATTCCCATACGCGGCCTACTCCCCCCCCCCAAATCGCTGTCGTGCAGCGGTTGATTCAGCACGTGAGTCAAGTGCAGGCAGCTATCCAGGAACAATCTGCGCGGCCGGACGACGTGCAGAATGCTATCGGCGCCCAGACGCGACATACCTGCGAGCAGATGGTGCACCTTCACCATCAACAACAGCTGCATTTGCAGCAGCAAATAGAAATAAACAATCGCCTGATGGTTGAGCTAGAGGCGCAGCGCCGCCGACAATAAGTCCTCGTCGAGCAGCTGCATGTACAGAAAAAGCAGACTGAGGCCCACGAGCAAGGTTTGAACCAAGGTGCCGCCGCGTCTGTGAAGCACGGCGAGCAGCTGGAGGGGATGGGATGTCGGACAAGCGCCCGTTGGCATGCCTTCTCGGCGACACTGATGCCAACTGTTGCTGCGCCAGCGGCTGTCCCAGCGGTTGCGGGTGTCCAAGTCGTCTATGGGTTCGAAGAGATGCCCAAGGCCCCTTCATTCAACGGCAGGACCAAGGTGCAGATGCGCAAGTTCATGGACTAGTACGAGGCATGCGCCCGCGAAGTTAACATCGTGAACGCATAGCGCTACGGTGGTACCAGCACGCGCCACTGAGCGCATGCATCGAACCGATATCAGTCGAGCGCATAGCGTACTGGGAGATCGGGAAGGCCAGCCACGAGCTGACGGAGGAGGACTGGAAGGTTTTCTTCCTTGGCGCCAAGGACTGTGATCCTGTGGACATGTCCAAGTTGGACGCCGCGATGTCCAAGCTCAAGATGGACACGACCGTGCAGTCGGCCGAGTCGCGGGTGTCGAAGTTGGTCTCGGATTTCGAGGTGGTCCTCGTGCGCCTCTCAATGGTGGGGTTCGCGGAGGCCGAGCCGAAACTAACTGTCGACTACCTCGACGCGGCCGTCCAGCCGCCGGCTGTGCGTGCCCGTGTCAAGGAACTCATGAAGTTGAACGAGAACCGCGGCCTCAAGAAGGACGGGCGCGATTTCAAGCGCTGGCTGGCAGACTACATGCGCCGCTACGGCAAGTTTGAGCCTCTGAAGGCCGCGGCAGTGCCTGCTACCGCCAAATCCGACAAGTTGCCCGCGGCGACCAAGACCCCCAAGGCTGGAAAGGTCCCCAAGGTCGTGGCTGTCTTGAACGTCGACTAGGTCCCGAAGTCGAACATCACGCAAGAGAAGCGTGTGTGTTTCAAGTGCCTGAGTACCGAGCACAATATGTTCAAGTGCCCTAAGGTCGCTGACGGTGAAGCCAAGCTCCTGATGGAGCGTGCCCGTTCCATCTGGAAGGAAACCAAGTTGGCAACCGTCGTCGAAATTGTCGACGTTGCCGAGGTGTCCCTCGACAATGCCGTGATGTGCGCTGCTCGCATTGTGTGTGTGGCTGGTCAGGCCTTCTTGCTGGACGCGTCTTCGACAGCAGCGCAGACCAAAGTGTGGTGCCCCCCGTGACGCTGGCCAAACTCAACAAGCTAGGCCATAACTTCCTCGTGACTAACCTCAAGACCCCCATTAATTTCAAGGGTTTTGTTGGCCGCCCACCGCGTTCCCGAGGAAGCCACGATGGACCTGCGGTTCGAGACAGACGCAGGCCCCCTGATGCTAACGAATGTCAAGTGTTGGGTGTCGACAGGCGACCTACCCGCCAATGTTGGCGACATCCTGTTGAGCCGCGCCATCATGTACAAGTTGCGCGCCATGCTACGTGAGGCCGCGTCCATGACCGACGCGATCGACATGGCCGACGCGGTCTCGCACAGTGGGGTCGTGCAGGTCGTGTTCCACGAGCTCGTGGATGACCTGGCCGAGGAAGAGAAGGAGCTGTTGCCCCTGGAGATGGACTCATGTTTCCCCGACATGGTTGCCGTCGATGCCACTGCTGAGACCACCAAGGTCAAGGAGGTGTTGGATGCGAAGGTGGTCGAGGCCCTGACTGCCGACTGCGGAAGTGAGTTTGTTGCCAAGCTAGCCGCGCTCCTCGACAAGTACGTCGACGTATTCCGTTTGAGTCAGGTTCGCGACCCACCCGTCAAGATGCCGCCGTTGAAGGTGAACTTGGCCAATGGGGCGCGGCCGATAAGATGCAAGGCCCGTCGGTACTCCCCGCTACAACGAGAATTCATGCAGCAACATGTGAAGGAGTTGGAGGCAGCCGGTTTTGTCTACCAGTACCCCGCCAGCCGGTGGGCCTCAGCCCCTTGATCGTACGCAAGCCCCACACCAAGGATGAGTTCCGAATGACGGTAGACCTGCGACCGATCAACATCCAGACTGAGCAGATCGCCTGGGCAATGCCCATGTTGGAGGTGGTGGTGGATCATTTGCGTGGCGCTGTGTGTTTTTTCTCCTTGATTTCTTATGGGGTACTGGCAGTTTGCCCTCAACTCCAGCTGCCACGAGATGTTCTCCTTTTTGACCGACATCGGTGTCTATTCCTCCACCCGCGCGATGTAGGGTGGCAGTGACAGCGTGTCGTACTGCCAGTCGACTGTGCAGGAGATGTTCTCCGAGCAGTTGTACAAAGGCCTGTTGGCTTGGTTGGACGACCTCTTGGGGTACCATCGTACCCTCGAGGAATTGTTGGGTGTGGCGGACGTGTTGGCTGTGTCTGAAGCTGCACCCGAAAAAGTGCAGTTTCTACGTGACCGAGGCCAGGTGATGCGGGCGCATCATCAGTAGGACTGGGGTCAAGCACGACCCCGCCCACGTTGAGGCGCTCCAATAGCTGCCGTCCCCCGTGACTGGTGCGGGACGAAAAGTTTGTTTGGCCAACATGTGTGTCCATCCCGAAGCCAAGTTGGCCGACCCCGATGACGTCTTGTCGAGAATGACCAAGAGTCTGGAAGCCGTCCACCTGGTGATGCTGGCGTCTGGCCTGGCGTGGCCTCTACGTCTCGTCGACGATGTGATCTGGGTGCCCGTCGCCACCGCCGAGTTGCAGCTGCGGCTGTGCATGTGTGCCCATGCAAGTTTGGCCGGCCGCCGCACGGCCAAGGCCACGTTGGCCAGCCTGGAGTCGTTCTGCCAGTGGACCGGCATGAAGGGCGACGTCGAATTTTTTGAATTTTTTGTGCGTCGACGCCTACATTGTGCCAGTGCATATGGCGGTGCGACGAGCACGCTTGGTGAGGCCCTCCACTCAACCACACCCAATGGACTGATTAATTGGGACTTTGTGTTCATGGGGGCCTCCAAGACAGGCGACAAGTATCTATTGATAGTCAAGTGTGACGCCAGCAAGATGGTCTGGTTGTTACCGGCTCCCAAGGCCACAGCGACGTCCGTCAAGGACTGCCTGCTGCAGTGGTTCGCCGTGTTCGGTGTGTGCAACGAGTGGGTCTCCGACCAGGGGACCCATTTCAAGAACCAAGTGATCACGGAGCTCCAGCACGTACTAGGGGCTCATCATCACTTCACGACTTCCTGCTGCCCATGGGCGAATGGCACAGTAGAGGTCGTGATGCGGCAGTTGCTGCGCCTATTCCGGACATGTCTGAGCGAGTGGCGCATGGCGCCCGACCAATGGCCCGAGGCCCACCTCATCATCAAGCTCGTGCTCAACCAGCTGCCGTTACCATCCATCGGTGGTATGGCCCGTGACCGCCATATCTGGCCGTCCGGCAATGTCGCCAGCTGACACGATGGCCTTGCCGGGTCAGATCATGTCGGCCACGCTGGCCGAGGTGGAAAAAGGTCAACGCGAGAACATTGACGCGGCCCAGCTGGCTCTGGAAGAAATGCACAAGCAGATATCGGTAGTAAACGCACGGAAGCACGACCGCTCGCGGCAGTACGATAAGAAGAAGGGCATTCAGATAGCCCAGTTCGTGGTGGGGGACTATGTCCTCTACCAAAACGTATGGGCGCACTTGCGCCAGAAGTTGCGGACCAAGTTGTGCGACCCGGCTGTCCTCACCGAGGTGACCAGCAACTGGGTGTACGACGTCGAGATCCTGCTGACTCACGACCTTCGCCTCGTCCACACCAGCCGCCTGAAGTTCTACGCAGACTGCGACTTGGACGTGACGTCCGAGCTGCTGGCCCATATCGCCCATAACTCAGAAGGTTTCATAGTGGAAGCCATGATGGACGCGCGGTACGTCCCCTAGACTAAAGTGAACGAGCTGTTGATTAAGTGAGGCGGACTCCATAACGTGGAGAACTCGAGGGAGCCCGCCGACAACATCTTCGCCGATGTACCCGTGATGTTCAAAGCGTTCTGCAAGTTGGCCAGTTGGTCGTAATCAAGGAGATGGCCGTCGTATACGAGGTTAAGTAACTCGTGGAGGAAGTGATGTATTCGGCTCGAATTACTGAGACGGAAAGGAGTAGACCTGTGACGCCTCGTCCATTGATCGGTACTTTTGGTGGTCGGAGTACCATATGTATTGGTAGAGTGTATCGACCCCTTTATAAGGTCTGATAGATTAGGTAGTTTGAGTGGCTCCTTGTCACTCACTTCGCCTTTTACCTTTGATTATTCCAACGTTTTGGCTTCGATCGTTTTTCAAGTGGTTGGGATACAACGGAAGCTCAGTCTTGGCCTTTGCGAGGGTCGGTTTGTTTAACCGGAAGATCGCACGCGAGATGGGAAGGTCAAAAGAAGTTGTTCGAACCTTCCTCATTGATCTTCCTTCCTCCTTCCTCATTGATCCCGACAACTACGGAAGCAAGGTCAAGCGGCCAGGAATGAAGAAGGTTATGGGTCGCAAATGCTGCCTCCTGCTGTGCCAAGCTTCTAGCAAACTGCAGAATGACCTCAAACTTAAGGCAACACTACGCACGTGCCAACGACGACTCAAGGAGTGTAGCCACCTCAAGTTCAAGAAGCGACAGTAGAGTCCCAACCTCAGCATGGCGTACAAGTTGGCTCGTCTGGAATACGCGAAAACCAATATCATGAATCCTGCCAACTAGAACGAAATCATTTGGTCTGACGAGAAAAAGTTCAATTTCGACAGACCAGATGGATTTCAATCCTATCGGTGCTGGACAGTCGCAACCGGCTGCTTTGGACGATAAACATCGTCAAACCTGCACTATTCAGACACAATAAACAAAGTCGAATTTGACGTCCTGCAACGAGTAAATCCCACGTGGAAATATTGGATTTGGGTTAAACTCTTCAAGAATACTCCGAGTACAGTCCGAAAAGAAATTATAGACGCACCCTAAATTTTTCCAGTTTGAAAGGAGTACCGTACTATTTTGTGGATCACTATCTGTCAGTCATTTGAAACTGTTACAAATCTTGGCCTGCAAAAGGATTTGGGCACAGTCTCAATCATTCTCAAAAAATATACAATTTTAAAAAAATTGACTGAAAAGAAATTATAGACGCACTTTTGATTCGATCAAATATTGCCAATTTAAAGCCAATCAGAGGTCTCAATCATAATCAAATTGCTTACGTACACTGGTGTTACACACCCATATCATAGCAACAGTAAAACCATCCATTCACAATGCCGCGCGGCAAAAACAACACTGATGTCGAGAAAGGCCAAGTTAAAGCCTATTTGGATGTCAACAAATCGTTGCATTGGATTGCAAGGGCCATTGGATGCAGCAAGAAACTCGTGCGGACGTACGTTGCAAGTTTGAAGCGACCAACTGTACCCAAACGCCCAGGAAGACGCACCACACTGACCAAGCGAGAGATTCGACGCGTTTTTCGTCTCGCTACACGGAAGGGCATGTCGTCAAGGCAAATAGCTGCAGTACTCAATGGTAAAGTAACACAAACAACAGTTGTTAATGTGCTTAAAATGTCGAAATTCGCCAATTACATCAAGCGCCGATCAGGTCCGCGACTCTCACCCACCCACAAGAAAGAGCGCGTCCATTTTGCCGGAAAATACCTAAAGCCCCTTGCGGAGTAAGCTAAATAATAAAACGAAAAGGAGTTCGGAGTAGCAATTCACAACTTTTTCCTCTCCTTTTCATCAAACAGAAAATGCTCACGAGCTCCGTCATTGGTCAAGATTTTGGTCCATCACCGGACGAGTAAATAACAAATAAAGGTATTTGATTGGTTAAATCAAGCATAGGACAGAAAAAAGAGCAAATCGGTGGTCTTTTGGTGACCAACAAAGTGACATTGACATGGCCAAGCTCAAGACCCTTTCGAAAAGGAACTCATCGAAGAGAATCGGGTACTGCGAGCTGAAATGCAAGCAGCCACGTTCATGATCCCCCTCGTCGGGCAGCCTGAAACTCCATCGGAACCTCGGGCCGCTGTCGAACCCAAATTCTCAGCAAACTATACGGACCAGATGATCGTCGCGTTGCTCGAAGTGCGGTTTGGCTGGTTTCGTGACGACTTCGCCGGTAGTAAGTCGAACACGCAGCTGGCCTGCCTGTGGGAAAAGGTCGCCCTGCAATTCAACATAATCACGTCGGCATCAGTTCGTATACCAAGTACCTCCCTCAAGAACAAGGTATATGCTCTAAAATTACAGTACAACAACATCAAGAAGTGTGTCGAAGCTACTGGAAACGACATCGAGAATCCAATCGAATATCCAAGCTACTGGGAACACCTCGTTACTGCGTTCGGGGACATGATAGGAATTGGACAGCTCGAATTTGGCACCGAAAACCCAAGTTCACTGTGGGACGTCAACAACGGCAGTGGTGTTGAAGATGGTGATGGCGACCTCCACGTCGACGACGCAGAACGAAAGCGAAAACGCATTGTTGCGGGTGAAGTCGACAGGCAGCGTCAACTACGGAAGCTCGGCAAGACAGACGTCGGGGCGGGGCTAGTGTCGCTCGGTGCTGCACTCGCACAAGGGATGGTGGATGCCGCTACCATTTCGAAAGAGTCACCGGATAAGCCCAACGGGTTTAGCGCGATACTCGAGAGGACTGAAGCTGCACTAGCCAAATCTGCTGCCGTCCAAGAAGAAACTAAGATCGCACTGCAACGGGGTAATGAGCTTCAAGAGCAACTTTTAGCGTTTCTCATGAATAAATT